TGATCCTTAAGAAGGGTCAAGTTCTTTTGGAAGAACGTTGCTGATTCTGCTCCACCCTGCACTGCGCCATCTTCAGTGGGAGCAGTCTTTGGATTATTCATTGGGCGTGAACACCTCCATTGGGAGATATTACATCTCTGTATCAGGTATATTCCTCTCATTTTTTTTGGTTCAGATCTGGTTTAGTTTATGGTTCAAGATTGATCCTTGAAAATATGATTTTCTAAATAGGGAATACGATTCCCAGTTGAAGGGAGAGAAAAATTTTTGAAATTCGCCCCTTATTCCGCAATCTTTGGGCGTCCATAGGATGGATCTCTCATCCCTTCACGAATACTCTGAGCAGGTATAACCCCTTTGCCTTTCTGTTTCCTTCTCTAATGACATCATTTGCCTTTTCTGTTTTCTCTAAATGTTAGCTGTTACATTTTTATTCAGGCCGAGAAACAAATAGAGATGTACACCAGGCAGGGTTTTTCTTCTCTTCCTATTTGCATGGCAAAAACCCAGTATTCCTTCTCACATATACCATCTGAGAAGGGAGCCCCTGTTGGGTTTGTGTTACCAGTCAGGGATGTCAGGGCCAGCATTGGAGCCGGATTTATCTATCCCCTAGTTGGGACCATGAGTACGATGCCCGGGCTTCCCACTCGGCCTTGCTTTTTTGAGATTGATGTGGACACTACAACTGGAAGAGTTCTTGGTCTTTCATAAATAGAGAGAGAGAGAGGTTCTTTTCTCATACTGTTGCATTTGTAGTCTGATCTGGCCCGAAATGGAGATATTCTTGTCAAATGGCACTTGTATTACCTTCATTTACTTTCACTTTGTCAAACGAATGGTATGGCAAGGCTAGATAGAAATTCTCTTCTCTGTCATTTTCTTCAAATTCAAATGTTTATTAGCAAGCAGGCCCCATGTGATTTGTGGTTTGAATGACAACTAAATATAAATTAAGATTAAATAATTGAACATATATTGTTTTTTCCGAGATAGAAAGTCCAAGCTCATGGTTATCAACCATGTATCTCACATACATGACAAAATTTTCCTTGGTTGATTTCTTGACATGCGAATCCGTGTATCACATACAAAAGAACATACACAAACAGACAAAAGTTGGAACATGATATAAAACTGGGTGTTAGCTTGCCAAACACAGAAGGATTCAAAGAAACTCAATACATGAGCTGGAAGATGAAATGGACCTTTTCTTCCCTTTTCAAGGTCCAAATCTCTATTCATTCAATGTTGATCTTTGTCCATACTCTCTCAGCTGATCTTGTTTTCTTTGTAGCTACTATATGTATACACCATCTGCACCTTGTCCTATCCCCTCTACAACAGTTGTATCTATATTTTTTAGCAAGTAGTTTACAACAAGGTTCAAAATTTTGACGCGAATATGCCACACATGGTGGGTGTCCGATGCTCGAACTTTGGCCTTTTGACCCATTTCAGAGGTTAGGCAAGCCTAAGACTTACTACCCCTGACCTTTTTTGAAAAAAGAAAAAAAAAAAAAAGAAGAAGAAGACTGGAATTTGGTAGAAAGTAGGCTACATCCTTTCGAGCGCAATACTTAATTTGAACCTTGATTTACAAGCTACAAAAGGGTAGGATCTCCTCATCCAAAACAGACCTCATTTTGGTAAGAGAGCATCATCCGATAATTTAAGGCATCCCAAGTCCCAACCCGTTCATTTACTTAGATAGAGATTTTCCCCATGACCCACATCCAGATCGTCCAATCATGGTTAAAACCAATAATCTGATTGGAGTAGTCATGAAAGCCGCCTGCCATACGTTGAAGGAATTATGGAATGGTCACAGCTCACAAGCCACAGCCAGAAGCCAACTACTTAGTTGGTAACCATGATACAACTTTGGTGATGATAATAATTTAAGTTTCAACTTTAAACAAAGCTTGCTTTGGTAGTGATTCTGATTTCTGTGAGAATCAATCACGTCACTCTGGATTAGGTCCACTTTCCGTTGTAGTAGTTACAGATTAAAATAAATAAATAATCCGGTCACTCACAGTCACGGATCTCTCAGATTCATGACATCCCAATCCCATTCCTCCATCCCCATCAGATTCAGCAGAGAATCGATTTTAATCGAACGCCATAATTAATCCATTTTATCGTCTGAGCAGTGAGCATCCCTCCTCGATCCTCCCTCCATAAGAATTAGAATTAGGAGCCCCCCCCCC